ATATAATATCTATTATATCACATATAATATATAATACACACACACACCCAAACACAGGCAGAATGGGTCAACAATCAACATTTTAAAAAACAACATTTCAAAACTACAATCTATGCCCAAAAGCACCAAAAAGGCTATCTTTCACACAAGTACACCAATCCCAGCAACACCTATAGCTATCAGACAACACCAGCGACCCCCAATTAGGCTGATTAGACTACAAACTTCTGACACCTAAGGTGGCCAGCTTCAGTAGTCAGTAAAATCCAGCCTTAATGCTAACACATTAGAAGTTGGCACCCCATTCTTAAATAGACAGGCTCCCAGTTTACCAAGAACAAACAACCCAGGGTATAATGGGAGATACACAACATCTCTTACAAATCCAACAAAACCTTGGCCATTACTAATAAGCGGCCAAAAACTGGCTGAAGGCCATTCAGGTACTACAATGGTACCAACACACTTGCACCTTATAGCATGAAATAATACCCTTGGAATCAAATAGACAGGGGGGCAAAAATAATTATTATCCCCATCCCAGTTTACTGTAAAGGCATCAACAGCCTCAGTTCCAATGTCCCAGTAGCGGCTATTATAACGATCGAGCTTAGCATTATAAGAACTAGCAAACCTGTCTATTGTGTGAGGACCCCAAGTGGCCTCTATCAAGTGAAAAACCCTGAAGGACAACCCCCAATCATCATGATCAATGATGCGACTTATATAGTCCGCTCTCTCATTCTGATCTCTAGGGATCCACTCAGGCTCCATAACTATATTATGCTGAATTGCCGACTTAAAAATTGACAATGCTTCTGCTTGCAACTCAGCATTCCCACTACCCACCTTTATTATGTGAGCTACACTCTGATTATCTGTAAACCATCTCACCCTATGACTATCAAGCAAGCAAGCAAAAGCACTGAGAGTGTGAGCTACAGCTCTTTGCTCCCTCCAAGTTGAGCTCTTCTGAGCTTCCTGAATAGACCACTGTCCATGAGCAACATGATTACCATGATGTACCATATAGCTCCCAAAACCAGTATTACTAGCATCAGAGTAAACAATCCTAACAGCAGAAGGTGTTCTCCACACCACCCTGCAATTAAAGTCATCGATATTATTCAGCCAAAACCACAACTCATCCCTTGCATCTCCTGTAATGCAAACAAGCTCTTGCCAGGAGGATCTAGATTGGATAGCAGCATATAAGGCCCGGGTTCTGAGTCTAGCTAAATCTCCAAGAGCTAAACTCATTGCTATAATCTTACCTGTAATGCTGGCCAGCTCTCTGGCTGGAATGATATCTACTTGCACAGCATGCTGCAATAGCAACCTGAGGCCATCTAACTTAGCTTTTGGTACCCTTATGACACCCAAATTCAGATCAATATTGAACCCCAGCCAAGATACTTGTTTTGCTGGGTGCAACCTGCTCTTCTCTGTGTTTAATACTAAGCCAGCTGCTGCTAAAGTCTTTTGTACTAAACTGCTAATCTGCATAGCTATCAAATGTGAATCCTTGACTACAAACAAACCGTCATCTAAGTATAGCACCATTCTAATACCTTGAGCCCTAAAATGCTTAACTATAGGACGCAAAACCTTGGTGAAAACATAGCATGCTGTAGACAAACCAAATGGTAGAACTGTGAATACAAAATATTCCCCCCTCCATGAAAAACCTAAATAGGTCTGAAATTCTTTGTGAATATCAATATGGTGGTACCCTGACTTAAGATCAAAAGTGCAAAGGTAAGCACCTTCCTCAAAGTACTCCAAAGCAGTCCTGAAATCCTCATACCTAAACTTACTCTTCCATAAGTATAAATTAAGATGCTTGAGGCTGATAACAAGTCTCTTCTTACCAGCAGAATTCTCAACAACAAGCAATGGACTACAAATATGAGGTATTGACACTACCCGTCTCACACACCCATTCTCACACAGCTCATTGACAGCAGTATTGACAAAAGGCTCCTCCTTTTTAGTGGAGCAATGGTTAGGGGCACTATAAGCTGGGGGAATTGAAACTAAGGGTAACCTATACCCATGGTCAATAATATCTAACACATAAGGTGAAGCACGTAGTGCTTCGTGCCAAAACTGACTATGCTTACTCAAACTCCCTTTCACTACACAACCCTGACGGCCCCCTTCCATGGATTCCCAGTATCTATGACCCACAACCTCCATGCAATTTTCACTCTCAACAATAGAGTGCTCACCACACCCAAAACTCTCGTCCTGAAGGTCTACACTCATATTACAATAAGGAGGATACTGAGCTGTCTTTGGGCAGGTGTTCTGTAGGTGGCCCATTGCTCCACAACAAAAGCAGAGACCAATTGGTCGTGGTTCCGGTCCCATCATTCTAGAAGAGGAAGAGTAAGGAAGATGAAATCTGCCCCCTCTAACAGGAGCCCACTGCCTGCCACTCTGCTGCAAGACTGGTCTTGTGACACTAGCTCTCGAAGCACCCTTTTCTTTTTCGCGGCGGCAGCTGCTGCTCGCTTCTCGGCAGATTTTTCCGCCTTTGATATCCTGTTTTCATCATCCTCGTCGTCTGCAAGCGCATCACTCTCATATTCCTTAATGACCTTCCACCCATGCTCCGACCGATCCACTAATCTTATAAGCTTCTGCCTATAGGCAATCAGCTCTGTACCTTCTTGGACGGCCTTCTTAGCTTTGGTAATACACTCTGTTACTGCCTCGGGAGGATCCGGGACTGCTCTGGGAGGATCTGGGACTGCTCCGGGTATGGCCTCCGAGAGTTTCTTCAATTGCTGAGCTGCGTCCGACAACTTGTTCTCTATCTTCTTGTTGACATTAAATTGATCCTCATTTCCTTTGCTCCTGAAGTCCAACACAGACCTATCCACTCAGGGTTTTTTTGCAGCAATTTCAGCCGCTTCGTCAAATCTTTTTGAGATCCTCTGGAGTGCTTCTGTATTCTGATTATTGGATCTTTCAATGGCCTGCATCAGCTCATGTAGCCTGTCCTCTTCCAGCGCCATAATAGAGACCCAACAAAAAAGAATATATGGGATAGAAAAATGAATGTCTTTAGTTTTGATTGCCTGCACTTCTGCCACACTGTAGACTGAAGAACACGTGCATTATTGCACACTATATAACATCTAGAATAAACCACACCCATAGGTGTGCTCTATTATTACTGTGGGAGCTTATTTTCTGCCTAATTCATTATATTCAACCATCAGAAAATATACAATTTTATGGTTTTTCTCCATTTTGACAAAATTTGCTAAATTGATTCTACTTTCATCCTTTGTAACACTGCAGCTTGCAATTCTGGATTAAAAATAGTCAAAACTCCAGAAGTCTGACATGAAGTTGAGTATAAACTTCTCTCTTGTAATGTCACATGTGACTACACCCACATTTGCTAAATACAGGTTGCAGAAATGAGGAAATAAATTATGCATTTCAAAAGCAGTTTTTCTCCAGGAATGATCAATTATTTTGCACTGAAAGTATTTTTGCGAGACGTTCTACACCGTAATAAAATTATTTTTTCCTTTTTAATCACAAAGAAATTTTTTGTGTCGGTTACCATTTAAGTTCTATTGCATGGTAACTTAATATAGGCATATTGTATCTGCCATCCATACAAACTCCATGCAAGAATGCAATATTGCTGTGACAGTGATGCATGAAATCATGTTTGCTTCATGAATAAAAATCTCATTGGCATGACAAGGCCTCGACACTTTTATATATGCCTCAACAGGACCTACTCTTCAATGAAAACATTTACCAAACATATCTTGTCCCAAAACTATATCCTTTCTTATCATAACTTCTTCCCTCGGAAAGTGATGTACATTACTGTCAAGTACAATGCCTATTAATATCATAATATTACATAGTGACAGTATTATGGCAGAATTGATATCACTCCTTAAAGATAAGACTAATGAGCTAGAAGTAGGTGTACATTTTGTTTCCAATTTGAGTAATGACCTATAAAAAATCCAGAGTTTCGTAAGAATAACATATGGCACTTTTAATTTAAATTCGGCAGTATTGAATCACCAACATTAACCACAACTTTTAAAGTTAAGCATGCATGCTATGGCTTTACATGATTGTTGTTTTGCAATTTGCCAAAAATTTGTAATCGTAAAAAACTCTATTAAAGCACACCCTTTACATGGTCTTGAGCTATGGCTACGCCAGACTGCCTTGGATACATATAAATTAATTGAGGTTTAAGCCAACAGAGTTACACAAAGTTAACTAGTGGGCTGCGCAGGCTGGGGCATGTTATAATTGGTACGCCCATCTACATGCTTGCAGTCAGTAATCAGAAAGCTACTGCATAAGTGACTGAGCAATAAGAAGCTGTTTTTCTTCTCAAATGTTCATCTTGTTCATTGTTGACCATATTGTAGTCCCGGGTACTCACCAAAATATGGCCACTCGATTAGAGGATGGAGACCCTCCACTCACTCCTACGGCAGATCATGAAGATGCAGGGCACGATGGGAAAGGGGCTATGAGAGACCCAGAAGGTACTGGGACAGGAGAGGAAGACTTCCACATTTCAGACTGTGACTTTAAACGCCTCACGGAGACCGTACTTAATGCATTCCATTCCTCTATGATCCTCTAGCGTCTGCATCCTCGGGTGAGTTGGTAGTGCTCAAGCACTGACTGAGGTCTTACACTCATGCACCATTGAACATCTAGAACCCTGTTGGGGTATCATGCGCCTCGCTGCCATTGAGTTGTTGGTGCTTGCTGCTTACTTTGGTGCACCATGTATGCTGTTTGAATCATGGCTCTCAAAGACCATTCTCGGCTTGCTGCCTCTGACATTATTGCCCATGGTGGAATACGTGGTAGTCATGCAGTGCCTATATAATGTATAGTGAGGCAGTCATGCAGTGCTGTAACAATATATAGTCTGGCTGTTGGTTATGGCAGAGTCTTGTTCAGTCAGCTGCAGGCTTCAGCCATCATGCATGGGAGGCCCTTGTGGTGACAGGTTGTGCAGGCCACCACCATAGCTCAGCTGGAGGCACTCGCATTGCAAAAGTCAGAAGATAGATAAATTTTGATTTTATCTGTGGTTCTCAGCTTGCTTTTATGTAGGGCTTCCGACTGATCCCAGTCTTGCAGCAGTTGGAGGGACATCTCATCCCATTCTTCCAGTACTGGGTGACACAGCATTTGGGCTTCCCCTGCCAACCTGTGCCAGTAGTGATCCCACTAAGACTGTGTTGACTGTAAAGGGCCTTCCTCCCATTGCAGCCAAGCTGTTGGACAGAATCAGGAGAAGGGAATTGATCGACCTATCCTTGCTGCTGCATGACCCGGCATCCATGGCAGAAAAGATGCAGAGGGGGCAGGTGATGATTGTTCAGTCCATCAAACAAGCTCAGAAGAGACGTTGGCAAATTTTAGATATCTTCTTTTGGACACTAGCTTTTGCTCTTAAATGCCAGTGGCAGAGCTGGAACTAAACTGATGCCCGGACCCGGATGTGAGTGTGTCCACTTCCTTACATTTTCTTTGGGTATTTTACTTAAAAAGTGCTTGCTTATCACTTATAGGTACCTGTATACCCTTGTTAGTACTCTAGTAAGGCTTGTGGTTGGCTTTATCTAAACTTTAGTGAAGGAATTGTTTATAGTGCATCTAACAAATTCATTACAGAGCTTTGATGCCCGGGCCTAGGCCTGTGTGGGCCCAGGTTCAGCTCTGCCACTGATTTTGCTGCCACCTTGTCTTCAGCTGTGGAGACCACAAGGGAGCAGTGTGAGCTCATCTCCACCTAATCACCCAGCTGCCTCAAGACTTAGGGAGGGTCAATGGCTCACATACAATGTTAACTTTAGGGAGGTGGCAGCTGCAAAAGGGGTCAAAAAGTGGGGCAACCTAAATCTGGCCATTTATGGCAAATGTCTATCGGGCAAAGTGGTAGTTCAGCCCCTGTTTCTCCCTACCCCACCAGCAGTTGGTCATAAGGGGCCAAAACGCTCCAAGCCGTCAGCGGTGTGCTTTGACAAAAATTTTCAGGGGTGTGTACGAGAGAGGAGGACCACTGCCGTTTCTCTCATGGGTGCTACTACTGTATTTCAGCCGCCCATAAGGGACAGGACTGCAGAGGAAGGGGGAGGCAAGGCTAGACCAGCCCAAATGCCGAGCTAGACTGTATGGAGGAACCCCTAGTTATTCTTTATCAATAATTGTTGTGTTTTCTGCGGATTACTTAACTATTTTGCATGCATGTATGCATATTTGTTTGAATGACAAAGTTGAGTTGAAAAAAAAGTGAAAAAAATTAATGTGTGTAAGGTTGGATTGAATGGGAAAGTCATTACTGGCTTTCAGTGGAGGAGTTTTATAGAATCCGTGAGCTGTTTGCTCAGTCTCCCTGATCTATGACGGGTTTCCCTCTGCCCTGTAGAGCATGACCTAGAAACCTAATGGTGGGGGTGGGCTGAAAGCTTGAAGTAATAAGAACAAATAGTCCTTACCACTGTCTTCACTGTGGCTAGGCAATGCAAACAATCCTTATATAAATAACAATTGTTAAAACTAAGTCATTAATTATCAAAATCATAAAACTGCTTTTTCTTCCTTTTGTGTAGGCCCTGAGGAGCTAGTTGCTCACACCAAAGTGGCAGTGCTTGGGAATGGACACTGGTACACTCACCAACTGCTGGCTCTGCAAGCCTGTGTACCTCGGCCAGGGGAGTTGTCAAAAGCCAAGGGCAAAATATCTACACCACTACCAGCAGCAACTTGGGCTGCTAAGCTGTCTGAGCATCTGGACCCAGGATTTGTAGCCTATATTATTGAGGGTCTGCTTTAGAGTTGGTTTTAATAGGGATAGCCCCCTTAGATCTGCGGAATTCAATCTGTCTATCCCCCACACACAGATTATCCAGGAATACATTGAAAGAGAGGTCTCACTGAGCAGAATGGATGCATTCTCCTCCCCATTGTCAGCTGACTCATTGCATATAAGTCCAATGGGAATGATACCCCAGAAGAATAAACCGGGAAAGTGGCGGTTGACAGTGGATTTGTCATCCCCAAAGGGTAACATTGTTAACGATGGTATCAGTTCGGAGTTGGCATCTGTGCAGTATTCGTCAGTGGACTGCCTAGCATTGCTAATTCAGCAGTCAAAGAGAGGGGCTATGTTAGTGAAAGCTGATATATAAGAGGAGTACTGCAATATCCCCATACCGCAACATCCCTCTGCATCCTGACGACCATCCTTAAGGTGGAACGCAGTGGCCTACATGAACAAAGTCTTGCCGTTCGGTCTCAGATCAGCCTCCTTAATTTTTTCTGCAGTGGCGGATGCAGCTCACTGGATGCTATGGCAAAGTGGTGTTAAGAAATCTCTTCACTACCTGGATGATTGTGTCTTAGTGGAGGACTCCGCAGCATTGGCAGAAGAATGCAAGAAATCTCTGTCATCTGTTTGAGTCACTAGGCCTGCCCCTAGAGCGAAGCAAACTGTAAGGCCCAAACTCTTGTCGTACTTTCTTGGGTATTGAGGTGGATACAATTAGCTGGCAGCTCCGCCTCCCAGAGAGAAGTTGGACCGACTTTTAACTAAACTAGATGAGACAAGGAAAAAAATGGATCTTTAAGAGGGCCCTACAGAGTCTTACTGGTCTGTTACAGCATGCTTTGGTCGTTGTGAGGCCAGGTAGAGCTTTTTTCAGAGCCTCTATGCTTTGCAGAAGGTGGGCTCATCCTCTCACCACAATATTCATTTAAATTTGACAGCCAGAGTGGACATTGTGTGGTGGCAGGTATTTGTTGCCCAGTGAAATGGGTTGTCTCTGCTGAGCGGGGGCGCAACAGAATCCTCAATGATCAAAGTGCACTCAGATGCCTCTGGTGGTTGAGGAGCAGGAGCAGTGTGGTTGGCTCAATGGTTCCATTTTCAGTGGCCGCTAGATCTTGCTTTCACATCGATACAGGTGAAGGAATTAGTCCCAGTAGTGGTAGCAGCAGCCATGTACGGTACAAAATGGAGAGATAATTGGGTGCAGGTTGTTGTAGACAAATGAGCAGTGCTTGACATTATAAACACTTACAGTAGGGAACCCCATCTGATGCAACTGGTGAGACAACTTGCATTCCGTGCCTGCCATCATGACTTCTGGTTTAGAGTGATACATATTCTGGGGAGGGATAACACACTAACTGATGCACTATCCAGAAATTATGCATCTTATTTTTTGTCTTAGCTCTCTCACACCACTCTCAGGTCAACTCAAATACCCCCAGCTCTTCTCTGTCGTGGCACTCAACCTGCCCTGGACATCCACTATCTGGATGGAGCTCTTCAGGGCTTCTTAGCGGCTGGTATAGCAAAGTCATCACACAAGACATATGAAACTGCTCACAAGAGGTTCATCAAGTTCTGTAGAGACTTTGCACTCACTCCATTACCTTTAAATAAATCTTTGTTATGCTTTTT